CTGGATGGAGGCAGGGGCTCTGGATGGAGGCAGGGGCTCAGGGGCTCTGGGTGCAGGCAGGGGCTCTGGGGCTTTGGATGGAGGCAGGAGCTCCAGGTACTGGCAGGGGCTCAGGGGCTTTGGATGGAGGCAGAAGCTCCGGGTGCAGGCAGGGGCTCAGGGGCTCTGGGTGCAGGCAGGGGCTCAGGGGCTTTGGATGGAGGCAGAAGCTCCGGGTGCAGGCAGGGGCTCAGGGGCTCTGGGTGCAGCCCCAGTGAGGAGCTGCTGCTGCTGTTATAGGGACAGGCTGAGCAGCCCGGAGCAGCCCCCGCGGGGGCCTCTGACAGCTGATAACCAGAGCCCTCCGAGGGTCTTGGCAGGCGTCTGAGCGAGGAAATGCCTGTGGCACCGGCTGGGAGCAGCCCCCGGGCGGGTGGTGACAACAGGCTTGGGCTCAACATCTCCCCCCGGGATGAGAGATCATCTCAGGCTCCTTGGGACAGCCTGTCCTGGGGTACGGGGCAGGTCGGGGGGCTGGGGGGTGGCTCTTGCACCCCTGCTCCCCGGCACGCAGGCAGTGAGGCTGCCGGCGTCTCATCTGTGGGTTCAAAAGTTAACGTGGAAATTGATCTCCTGCGGCCGCCGGGAGGTTTCAATAGCATCCTTTTAGGCTGGGGAATGGGGAGCAGCAGGTAAATGGGGCTACTGTGCCGAGGGGAGCACACGGCCGGGCTGGTTCACTTCTCCCTGGCCCCCTGTTGCCTCTCCAAAAAAGCATTCGGCCATCTTATCTGTTTAGATCATGAAGTCCTTGGAGCAGGGGTGGTTGCTCAGCACGCACGAGGAGTAACGCAAATAAAGATGTGCTTTCCTGCCAAAATTTGATGGGGAGATGGCCAGGGTACGTGTTCGCTCTGCGAGGAAATCTGTGACCGGTGTTTGGAGCCATCTCCTCTGGCTGCTGTAAAGCCCCCTGGTATTTTGGCTACTGTGGCTGTTAGGAGCGTGCCATGGGCATCCGTAGGGCAGCAGGGTGTCCCAGCACGGTGTGGCTGGGAGAAGGCCTGGCGGGTACCCGAGCACCCCCCTCCCCTCCACCCGCTCCTCCCTGCGCTCCAACAGCCACAACCGCTCTTGGTTTCTTTTCTGTTCGAAGGTGGCCGAGAGAATAAAATGCCCATCTTGATCTCCAAGATCTTTAAGGGGCTGGCAGCAGACCAGACCGAGGCGCTCTACGTGGGGGACGCCATCCTCGCCGTCAACGGGACCGACCTGTCCGAGGCAACGCACGACGAGGCGGTGCAGGCGCTGAAGAAGACGGGCAAGGAGGTGGTCTTGGAAGGTAGGAGACGAGGGAGGACAAGGGTCTGGGCTGATCCCCTTTTTTTTCCCAGCAATGTACTGAGTGCACGGGGATGGTGCGTCCTCTGCACGTGTATTTGCGTCCCCTTTCCAATGGAAAACTGGTTTATCTGCTCATCCAGAGAGCTGGAGGTAACTGCTGGGATCTCCCTCCGGAGAGACACGTGTGTGCCATCGCCCAATGCCCAGTGGAGCCATCTCCCAGCTGCGGGACCACGGGCAGACGGTGATGGGAGCCATGGGGTGGGTTTATTGGGTTTGCGACTCTTCTGTCCTCTGGCATCACCCTGAGGCCATGGAAAGGGTTTTCTGCTTTTCATGTGATTTTCATTTAAACCCCCCCCATCCTCAGCTGGTGTGGGCCTGTGTTTACACCAGCGGGGAGGGGGGACACCAGCACCCCACTACTTGCTGGGCACCTCTTGGTTTGCTGGGGCAGGCAGAAGGAGCAGGCTCTAGGGACAGGCAGGACAGCTTGGGACCACAGCCCCACGAGCTGCCTCCCTATGGGGTGCCCAGCACCTGAACCCCAACCACAACCCCACAGATCTGCATCTGAGGCTACAAACATCCCAGGGTCTGTAGAATCATAGAATCACAGAATAGTTTAGGTGGGAAAGGACCTTCAAGCCCACCCAGTGCCACCCCCTGCCCTGGGCAGGGACACTTCCCACCAGACCAGGTTACTCCAAGCCCCCTCCAACCTGCCCTTGAACCCCTCCAGGGATGGGGTGGGCCTGGGCCACCAGGGTCTCGCCACCCTCAGAGTGAAAAATTTCTTCCTGAAATATCATCTTAATCTCCCCTCTTCCAGTTTAAAACCGTTCCTCCTCATCCTGTCAAAGGAATCACAGGATCCCATCAAAAGATCCCATCACAGGATCACGGCCTTTGCTGTCCCAGAGGGGACTGGAGCTTCTCCCCTGGGAACAGGCTCCTTCTTGGCACTGAGTGGCCGGTCCCTGGTCTCCCAGCCCTGGGGGGGCTGGCACCCTGCAGGAGACCCCCAAACACCCTTGGGGAGTGGGTGAGGGCTGGTGGGTTGGGACTGTGGGAGCCCTGAGGCAGGGACCCCGCTTTTCTCCCGTTACCCTTCACATCACGTCTCACGGTGCTTGCCCATCTTCTGCCAGCTTGGATCTGCACCCAGGATCTGTCCCCTGGGATGGGACCCTTCCCCTCCCCACAAGCCACAC